AGTCTCCTGCTCCCACTGTTTCACTAGTAATCCATGTAAAGCATCAACAAGAGTAGAGCCCCCGAATTTGAAGGGGGCTGGGGGAAGATCATCTGGTCCCGCAGCTTTTTTCAACTTCAACCGCCCTATCTCACGTTCGACTTCTGAGCGAGAGGGTGGATCCAAAGGGACAGCCCACGGAGCAGGGCGATTATTGGCCGGCGAAGAAGCGAAGAATTCTAGCCGATTACATTGCTATTCAAAATGCTTAGCCCAACGCTTCAAACGTGTTGACAAATTGTGGATAGGCTGTTCACTCTCGTCACGTTAAGTTTCACAAACACCAGGTCTGCTGCTGCCCGTTTCCTGTATCAGACGGAATAATTTACGATGGTTGCCAAGGGAAGCGGCCACCTCCATCTCTGACGGACGATGAGACCACCGAAATTCGCGGTCTCACTTCAGGCTAGCACGGAGTCTTGTCCGGCGCTCTCTGCGAGTTTCACTGTGTTCGCTTCCAGCCGGGATATGCCGGCGAGCGTCGATAAGTTCCAGAGACCGAGAAGAGACCCAATATCCATGTTGGCTATTAGACATACCACCCGAGGATTTGCCTGCTGCTAGTAAGGTCTGGCGAACATGTGACCAGTGACCAACAATGATCTTATGTGAGCGCTTACTCAACTCGCTTGTCAGAGCACTTCGATACGCATTCACAACAGCTGGCTTTGTCAGTTGGCTGGTGTCAATGCGCTCACAACGTCATCGTGGGCGTCCGCCAAAACGCATCCGCATGTCAGCACATACAAGTGCATGATCGGTGTCCACAAATGTGCTCCAAATCGAGTGACAGTACTGGATGCAGCCTCTCCAGCTGAACCTAGTAGCTATGTGATCGATCTGCGTCCAAAGACTGGTTCGAGGCTGGTGGGCGCCAAGTCCCCCTCCGGCGGGTGCTGTGTCGGATGTTAGTGCTCGCAAGAAATAAGCGTGCATCTTCACACAAATGAAGTAACCGCTCAACGTTATCATTACGGCAGCTTACACCGTGCTGACCGCCCAGATACATTTCATCAGTGGACAACTTTCCAACATGTGCGTTCATATCCCAGCCAACACGCAGTGTCCGGGCTTCTTCTGTGGCGAAGAAGTCGTTCTTTACCGAATCATCGCTACAGTTTGTGGGTGCGTAGACCGCGATGATGAATAGACTCCTATTAGTCCCGCGCGACTACGAAGCTTTGAACGAGCCAGCCAGTCGGACCGCACGCATCTCCATGACTGAATGGAATCCAATCAACCGGAGCAGCTTCAGCTAGGGGACTCATGGCACTGCCAATACCAGCTTGGCCGGTGCTCAAAGCTGCATCGTCACCGGATAGTCGCAATGAGAAAATACTGCTTGTGTCACCGGAAGGTGATCACAGCGTGAGCACAGAGCTCGAGTCTTGCAGGCGGGTCTCTGTTAATAAGCAGATATCGATCAAGAGGGGGGCTAAAAGTGAAGTTGGAACGGGACGATGAAGGTGAAGAAGTGTAAGAGGGAGAATAAGAAGACGGGAAGGCTTGAGCAGTAGCATCCAAACCCCTATCCATCCTGCTTGATGTAGCAGATAGGGCACCGTTGCTTATCCTGTACGGTGGCCAGAGCATCAAGAAATTGTTTGACGAGTTGGGAAGCACTGAGTAGAGCTTGTCGAACTGGTTCGAAGGAGGGCACACACAATATTGTGTGGAGAGAATTATAGTGACCACAGAGAGCAAAGCGAGAGCCGAGTTATATATATATATATATATATATATATATATATATATGTATGTATGTATGTATACAGTTCTCGTAAAACAAAACGCAGCATAACACAAGCGTACCTATTTCTGTCATCGGGTAAGATATGGCCCGGTTGCCCAAGTCTGGGTAGCATGTTGACTTAGGGGACACCAACCCGGGCCTTCGGCCGAATAGTCTGCCCGCAATGCAGCGGAAGGAATTCAGGGAATTGTGTCCATCGGGAGCCGGTGCTTGGTTGCTCAGTTCATGCGCCTTTCGCTTGTTCGTTTGCTATACAAGGGCCCAATGCTCCCCACAAGTACTGCATCAAGTTCCTGGATTTAAATGCTTCGCCAGTATGAAGCAAGAGGCAGTGACTTTATTTTGTAGCGAGTCACATCCGCCACGTCACATATGTGGGTTTTCATAGGGAGAAAGCTTGGCAGGCGAAAACCCGCCACTTCCTGGACCACTGCTGCCGAATCCTTTGCTGGAACTGGTACATCCTGCTGGTAACACGAGCGAGTTCTTTGGCCAACCAGCATGCAACTTAGAGTTGATTGAAATCAGACTGATTCCTCGATGATCCTTGCCTTATAAACGTAAAAATTGGGACCAAAACGGCGCAGTTCCTGTCTGCTGGGACAGTTTCATGTTCACCCAGTTCACGAGTAAGTTGTGCAAATCACTCACCATAACAAGTTCCTCGAAGTTGAAGAAGGCTGGTGGAGGTCCGTCTGCTCCTGTGGCCATTTTAATTTCAGCATTCTGATCTACGCGTGGTCCAATCGAACTGTCCAGGAAAAATAGCGACCATTTGTCGATTAGGAAAATATCATCCGTGTAGGGCATTTGACCGGGTGAATTCTCAACCGAGTCGACAATAAACATTTGCCAAGCAGCGGGAGCTGTGTACAAGCCTATGGGTAAAACTTCATACTGAAAGGAAGGCTGACATTCATGGTGATTGTTGAACTAGGAACACGTCGTAGATAGCTTACCCCAAGTCCAGTTTGGAAAAGAAGCAGGCACCCTCCTTTTTGATTAATAGTTTATCGGTCATTGTCAACACGTAAATACATAAATATTTTATTCTCATATATGCGAGACACACCCATGGAGGCAAAATCAGATGCGAACTTCTCGATCACTATATGCTGCTTGCCGGCCTGTATGTCGTGGCATATCCTCATTATGCCATCCTTCTCTTAAACGTTGTAACCTCAGGGTGTACCTATTTATAATAATTAATCAGTCCAATGAGACCATCCGCAATCCTTTGCTGCAAAGCAGATAAAACGTCCTCTCTTCGGGCCAAAGGAATGGAATGTGATTGAATAATAGCTTCCGACTTAACATCCTGCTTAAGATGTATATGGCAAACGGAGAAGGGAGATCGGTCTATTGCTTTTTCAAACACCCTTGTATACTGCCTCTGTAGAGTGGCCAGTTCGATCGCCATGATATGCATTCGAGATGGGGACGGTGTGACTCATGGCGCAACCATAACATTTTGTCCTTGTAATGGGCGGTTATTTACAGCATTGACATAAACAGCAACTAATGCTTGAATGTTCGAAACTTGCAGGATAACCAAAACAAATGCTCGGATTTCTACAGGAGATTACGTATAACTGTCAAAACAGTAAGCTGACAGATGCAGGGAGGTCGTGTGCTTGACTGTGAATAAATGTACCTGTTACTGCCGTTGTAACGCTACAAAGTGTTTGGAAGTTTAAGCCACGCGTATCCCACCGGAATATTCAACAAAAATCCAAGTTCGGACATGCGATAACAATGCTATTTGTGCAAATCCATCGTGTCAAAATAAACTTTGCCTTAACGATTTCCAGACTCAACAATATCTCAAAAATTCGCGCTCAGCTCCTCAAGCTACCCGTGTTCAGGCACAGGAAAGAACACAGTGGAAGCATAATGAGACACACAGGGCTTGTGGTAAGAATCCAACTGAGCCAGTGGAATTAGGTACGCGTCCGCCAATGAAACGTGCTGCGGTAAGGTCTGGTGTACCTAGCTGTACAAACTGGGAGAGTCACACAAGTAACTCAAGTCAAGGAGAACAGTACCATATTAATAAGGCTGAACACAGGAGCACTTATGTGTAAGAGTGCAAGCAAGCTAGGACGTGGGTGAGCTGAAAATTGGACACTGCCTCACACAGTAAGAGCGTCATAGTAGGTACTGTTAGCACAGAAAATGGGCAAGTGGACAGGTACACGAATGATCCACTCGGAGCGACTAGGCTGACCAAAGTAAAAGTAGGAATTTAACAGTGGTGCGTCTTGCGTGGGCGCAAATTCGTTCTACATTCGTAACAGGAGTCTCGGATTCATATTTCTTGGCAACCTTTGTTTTTCTGCCGTGTACACTGACTGGCATAGTGCGTATCTCAGGCATTGGGAGTTTAGGTTCTGTACAAGGAGTACGATTATGAGTGATGGTACTGTTATCACCGACAGCAACCATATTTTCTTTTTAATGTACGGTCAAGTCTGTATTCGGATCGGTAGGAAGTAATTAAGAAATGTGGCTTGAACGATAACAACGGGCATACTACCCCCCCCCACTTATTACTCTTTTTGCGGTTCTCTTCTAGCGTGGGCACTTGGCAAAGTTAGCCTTATGTTGTCGGCAGACGCAGCGAAAACACTTCTGGGGAGTTTGGGTTTTGGTTGCTGAACAGTGGATAAGCAACTTGTTACATGACTGGTTGTGCAGCAACACATCGCGATTGTCCCGCGGTATCCGTTTTGAGGCGTAGGACTTCCACTGCCTTGTCTAAAGTCAATTTCGCGGCGTTTTTGGAGAGAAGGGAAGCCTAAATGCGACTGTTTGTTATTAAACAATCCAGCTGTTGAACCAATATGAGCCCCTCCGATTTTGTTTTTCGCTAGGGAGGAATACGCACTGAAACGTACGCAGCGAATGAGGCCATTCAAGAAATCTTCAGAGATTTCAATGGCTTTTTGGTTAGTTAGCCAAATTTGCATTGAGTTGTTCCATGACATATCCAACCACTCCTGAGCTCATAGATGATGCTCTAACATGTGTCACTTATCCCCTTTCGTACAAAACGTGGTTGAATGACGAGGATACATACCACTTGTCCGTAGTTTACCGACCACCCAGGAGATGGGCCATAAACTAATAACTGCATTTCGCATTGTGATAAATCAGAAATACACCCATATCCTCATTACTGCAGATTGCAACATCTACGATTGGGCAACTCCAGCAACCGAGGCCTATTTACAAGAGCTACTCTATAGCACATCCCTATACAACAACTTCACCGATCCCACGAAGTTCAGAACATTGAATAAGCCGTCAGCTTTAGATCTAGTGCTCACCAGTGAGGAACTCATGGTTGATCGGCTAGATGTATGCAGTCCGCTGGATCGAAGCAAACACGTGACTTTAATGTTCGATTATAAGTGCTACGCCGAATGCCAGGATGTAGAGCTCGAACGGTGAAATCAATTACGCATATTAGCAGTTTCTGTCCGTGTTCGTTGAACATGCTAGTTGGACATTCATGACTGAGTGCGCCCCAGAGATAGACAGGGAAAAGTTCTTGAAAACCTTTACATCAGTAGTCACCAAAGCATTAGAGCCAAAAGCTTTCCACCTTCATATCAAACCAAAATCCTTCCTGAGAGACCGAACACGAAAATTTGTGGCCTTGAAGGATTGGACATGGCGCCTATACAAAAACAATTCCAGCATAGAAAATTGGGCACCCTACATAGCTCAGCGCAATTATTCTGTACAGTTGGTTTGTGAAGACGTTATCACACCAACAAGAGTTAGCGAAACGATTCGGTTTGAAACACAAGTTTCTTTACAGACACGTGAATGGAATTTGAAAAGTGCAGTGCGGAATCCCACTACTCACTATGATTGATGAGTATACACACACAGCAAAATGGGAGGTCAACGCCATAACGACCCAGTACTTACCCATTTTCTAGGGGTACAAGCCTCGAACACCATAGCTGCTTATGTCACCACACCAGTAATGTTACCCAACATCGCACTCACAGCAGAAACGGTGCTGAAAAAACCACTACCTTTGGGTACACATAGCTCTTCTGGAGTGGATAACATTCGGCCTAAAATACTACACGTAGGGGCCAAGCACCTAGCCCAACTACCTGCCGGATTCTTTCATCGATGTCTAGATGAGAACATGGCTCCTTCAAAGTGGAAACAAGGTATTATAACCCCCATTCAAAAGGGAAGAAATCGGTCTGATGGTGTCAATTACCGTACGGTAAAACCTCATCCTAGGCTCCGATGGCTCGGTCACGTGCTGCGCATGCCAGCCTATCGACTCCTGCGACGTGCGTTGTTTGTGCGCCGGGGGTGCGGAAGGAAGAAGAGGAGAGGTGGCCAAGTGATGACTTGGTCAGAAGGATTGAATTTGGCCTCATTTATATCCTCTCGGCTCCCTGCTTGTGAACCAAAGGACGATGAACACGTTTGGCTGGATACACTTGTTGACATTGACAAGAGCCGACCTCAATGAGGTTTGTGTTGTGAGTTTCTTTGTCACTCCCCCTCCCACTTAGCCTCCCTCTCCAACCACGATCTCAATTATTAGGCACAATATGACTTTTTTACGGCACAATACCCGGCTGTGAACTCATCTGAACGATGCCCATCCGTTACCTTTGACAGCTGCGTGCCACTGTTTCATGTTTGTTTGTTTCTTTTCTTGTTATTGCTGCACAATAGCTGAGGTGTTTTCCACCATCAGCTAACGTGTATAATAATAAATAATAATAAAGCCTCTCCCTGTGCTTGCCAAGGCCATGGAAGCAACCCTCGCTGACGTGCTGATGAGCTACCTGGAAAGCTACGGCATCATTGCGTTGGAGCTGCATGAATTTCGTCAACATCTAGCAAGTTCCAGGAATCTGCTGACAGTGTGTGACAACTGGATCGAAACGGTCGCCAAGAGGAGAGGTGCCCGTGTTATTTACATGGACTATTCGAAAGCCTTCCATCCCTTGAAACATAGAATCCTGCTACACAAACTGCAGCGCTATCGCATCGGAGATCCCGTATTAGGATGGATGGGTAACTTTCTCCGCGAAAAGCAAGTGGAGGTTAGAGTCCGAACATTCCTATTCGACTAGGTTCGAGTGGAGTTCGGCATATCGCAGAGTTCGGTACTTGGGCCTGGCCTGTTCTTAGTTTTCAGCAACTAGCTAGCGAGAACTATCACCCTATGATTTTTACTTTTCATGGATAACGAGAAAAGTTGGCGGGCGATCAAGAGAATGGACGACCACCAGATCTTCCAGCGCGACCTAGACAAGGCATGGCATGGTCGATGATGAATTCGGTGCCATTCAGTGTTGACAAGTGCCGCGTTGTCTACATCCGCCATGGACACGCCTACATCTACAAACTTGGGCCACGAGATCTGCAGATAGATCTCAGAAACTTGACCTCGGCGTACTGGTACAGGACGACCTCGGTTGTTCCAGACAGTCAGAATTCGCTTCAAAAAATGGTAACGAGCATGTTGGTCTCTTGCGGAGGGCATTCCGGAGTTTGGATTCATCCATCTTCTCTTTGATGCGCAATGCCTACGTGCGTCCCCACGTTGAATACTCAATCCAGGCTTGACTTCCTTGGCTAAAGCGTGAACTTGCAGAGCTAAAAGCTCCCCAACTAAAGCTTTGCAACTGCCTGGAGGTAAAAAATCCAGTCTCGTATCCTAATCGGGTTTACTGACACACCTCTCATCACACACACGTGTGCTTACATTCATTTGATCCAGCTTCATCAGCGCTATTTAGTGCATTCCATCTCTCGGATCTAACTTGTGTGGATTATCTGTAATTTCAACATCGCGGTTTTTTCACTGTTCCCGCGGCAACGGAATCGAGGAATTTTTCGAACCCCAGACAACAAAACAATATTTTTGGTCTTATACGAAAGCCAACTCAGAGATTAAAACGACGAGCGTTCAACCATAGCTACTGACCGCTAAGCGAACTAGCAATCTAACATTTTGTGTCCGATCGCTTACTCGCTCTATTTAAATCGCAGAGCTTAACGAGCAAACCATCCATCCGCTCAATCCTAGTCTGCCAGCCGTGCACGCACCGAACGCGTTGACCTTGAAAATACCGAGACAGATAGACAAACACACCACTGACAGCAAAGGCATCGGTCGACGCCATAGTTTTTGACGACCAACCAACAGTTGCCACTTATCCTACACTAAGGCTGAAAGTAGTATACGGCTTCCCTTCAAAACATACAAATGTACGAACCGGAATGCAATGTGGAAACCGCCGAAGCAACTTCCATTCTAAATGTGCAAAGATCACAGTAAGTCATCTGAAGATAGGTATAGTTAACCAAATCCTCTAGGGTTCTGTGAAGTATGCATGATTATTCCACTAGTAAAGATCATGCATGAAGTAGTGTAGAAACAGGAAAGACTGCTGGCAATCATTGAAGAAAGGAAGAAAACCAAAGTTGCTTCATTTGAGGAAAGTTTGACAGTGCGCAAACCCCAGAGCTTTGCGTTAGACTCCGCTGCAAAACATCGGAAGAATGCTGGGCAGAGCATCAAAAATGCGTCTCCTGTGGCTTTTGAAGTCAAAGTCACCAGCTGCCCAAATAAGCCTAAAACAACCACAGTCAGTTCAATTGGAATAAGTACCGTCAGTGCGTCATCCACCCTACAAACTGTTACAAAATTTCAGTAGGAGGTCGACATCCTTGGTGGCTAGAAGGTGATTGCTGCCAAAACCAATCGGGAACTTAGCTCTTCAGTTAACCCTACTGAGCCTAAAGTAACTGAAGAAGGCGGAGTTGTTCTTCCACAGCCTTCACCGGTTGTATGCAGACCATCTGGGCGGCTGAAATCAATCCGAACTACACATAGTGTGCAATCGATAATCTGCACCAACGCTCCAGAGTCAACGTCGAATGCTGTAAAAGGAAAACAATTCGATGATGTGAACCAGTGGAACTCCATGTGTGACATCATAGGTGTGGTAGTTAAGCCCTCCAAATTGACACGGATCACACATCATCCAAACTCAAAGCACTATGGTGAACCGAGAATTCTCCGCGCTGTATTGACTTCCGCTGGGAATACAGAACCTATTCTGTTATCAACAGTGCACCTTCGGAATGTGTCATCTTCCGTCCGCATCTTTCCGGATACACCGTGGGGCGAGTTCAAACAGGCGAAGCACTACTTGGACGAAAACCAGAATGAACCCGTGCTTAGAACTATCTTGTACACGGTGTTCCCCAGGCTGGAGGTCATGATGGGCGTGAAGCAACCGCCCACGGCCAAGAGCAATACAGATATATTCGACAGACCCTGTTCTTGGAAAATACCATAACGCAGTGGATCTCGAGGCTACACAAGTCGCCAAATTACGAAGAAAATGGCCCGAGGATTGTGAAAGTGTTGCTTCACTCTAGACAAATGTCAGCTATGATGTTAGACAGCTGGTATGCAGGCAGTAGCTGCCTTCATTCCGACCGCAGAATCAAAACAGCATCTGCTAAGCAAACACACGAAACCAGCCACATAGTCGCACCACCAGTTCGGATAACTTCATTCAGCTAGCCAATGAAACTGGCAAACACCCGATCCATTACATAAAAAGAGAAGAGCATAGATGTAATGGCGGGATCTCTGGACCTGACACAGATGAATTCGTCATCACCCCACCCATCAGCACTATAGGATACCCAAAAGGCACATCCCACGACTCATTGCTAAGAACAGAGAGATTTTCCTACATTTACACAAATGCACAAGTCTACTGAACAAGCTTGCCTCATTGCGACTACGTCATGCATCATACGCCTGGGTTCTCTTATTCATAACGGAAACATGGCTGCATTCAGAAATCACCGACGTCAAAGTCGAGATACATGGCATGTCCCTCATTCGAAATGATCGCCCCCTGTAAGGGCGGTAGGGTAATTTTACACTACTGTAATGACCCGCAGTGCGAACCCGTGGACGATCCGAAAGCGCTGCTCAGGGATTCGCTCTGGTGCAGTCTGCAACTAAGACGCAACGACACCTGCCTTTTGGCAGTTGTTTATCGTCCCCAAATGTCCACCGCAGAGATGAACTCTCACCTGACCTTCGTATTGGTGAGGGTACTTCGACAACGATACAGGCATGTTCTTATCTCCGGCGACTTCAACCTTCACGATTTGGAATTTCCGGTTTCGCTAAACGAACAATCCAAGTCAGACCTGCAAGACTTTATTGCAAGCATTCCGTTCTTCAGTCATGTCAGTTCGCTCACCAAATTCAGAATGGAAAATAAGCCATCTGTGCTTGATCTAGTGTTCACGAAGAGCTCATGATCCAGAGACCAAAGATAGAGAGCCCTCTGAGACGAAGCGATCACGTAAAAATACTTTATGACTAGGTGTGTTATGCAGAATATCCACAAGAGCATAGTGACTTGTTTCGAACAAGCACACACTACGACACGCCCACCAAACTTATTGGGGATGCAAGTTGGGATTTTCGGACAATCGCTCCATTAATAATGCATGGACGGAGTTTGCTGGCAAGTTCAGCGATCTGCTCAAATCCGCATCTGTAAACAGACCATTTCGTTCTACAAGAGCATAATAAATCATTAGGACCAGAACCCGAAAACGCACGGCATTAAGAGACGTAGCGTGATGTGTATACAGGACGAACCAAAACCCTGAAAACTGAAGTAGTTATGTTCTGCGTCGTAATCACTATACCATACTTGTACGCGAGGACAAATTAGTGCACCAACACAGCCTAGCAGAAAGGCTTTTGCTAACAACAAGCCTCTGTACAGACATGTGAACTGCCTCCGGAATGTGAAATCTGGTGTTCCCCCGCTTACCTCAGCAAATGGATG